TATAAATATTTGGAATTTTAGGACATGCTGATCTAATATGAAAGGCAAATTAATTCATAACGTTGGATAAAAACCAAAATAAAGGAGACTAAAATAACTCCAAAACACCCAAGTTTTGTATAATTCTGAAATGATCAAACACTGAAATTACCCAATGATCTGAAGCCTTTGTTTCTTGCTTTGCATCTCATATTCATTGATGTCAAGGTGGAAATCAGTGAACTGAAAGGGATGCATTTGAGGAAACATAAGCGGCATCATCAGCTGTTGCCCACTGTGAACAGCCTCTGGTTGCATGGATGGAACGTAGAAGCGAGTTTGGAATGCCCTAGGGTCCTTGAACATCACGTCGTCTTGCATGGCTGTCCTTGGATCATGATGAAGAACTGGAATTGTGGGTGAATTGAACATTACATTGCTCGGCATGGCGATTCTTGGATCATGACAAACAGAGAGCGAAGGCGGGGGATTGTACAGCACCTTGTTCGGTATCTTGCTGCTACTAGAGGCAATCCCTGATTGAAGTCTGAAGTCAAGATGATTCATCATCGACATCCTTCGCGATTTATCAATAGGATTCATCGAATTTTCGATGGGATTCAGGCTGAGGGAAAGCTTAACCAAAGCCTCATCGGCAGGTGAATGCGAAGGTAGTTGTATGTTGAGAGGTTTTGCAGGGACAGGAGGCTGCTCCCTGCTAACTCCAAAATCCAAGTTCTTTCGAGCAAAGGCTTGAACGTGATCAAGATGGTTTAGAATCATTACAGGGGCATGAACTTGAATGTGATTCTCAGAATGGTTTAGATTCTTAGGATGAAAGGATGCAGGGATGCCATCAGAAGGGTGTGGCCTTGATTGGGTATTGAAACCACCTACAATCCTCGATTTAGCTGAGAGCGTATGATTCCAGTCATCTCCCTTCATCATCGTGATCTTCTTTTTCACAACTTCAAGGTTCAAATCAAGTTTCGTAAGAAAAGATGCAATTTGTTCAGGGGAGAAATCTTCGATACGATCATCCCATGTTTGAAACTTGGCTTTGAAATTTGCTTTGCGTACTTGGGCTGCCTCATTCTGAACCCCTCTCTTGCGTACGTTGAAAAAATCATATAAGCTAGAGATTTTCTTTTGCGCATCCGAGGCAACCTCAATCTTGTATTTGTCGACGATGCTCTTAACCTGAACAGGATCTGAGGGCCAAACTTCAACCTTGGCAGGGCCGCCCTTCAACTTGGGTTCAAAAATGATCATGCATACCTTCACGTCGCAAAGGACGGAGAACTCGTACGCCTTCTTTTTCAATCCTTTCATTCGCTTCCTAAGTGTTGTAGCTCGAGCCTTCTCATTCTCTATAAATTTCATAATCATTTTTCCTCGAGCCATCGACTGATAATCACGAAATTTTACGAATCAAACTCAATAAATTAACATAAAACAAAATATGGAAAAGTGATACATTGTCAAATTCGAATTTATGTTCGTAAGATCTTTGTATTGTCTAAACTTTAAATCTAACTACCCAAGGCAGAAAATCGAATCCCAGACATTTGGATTTATGTTTCATGCTAAGTTCATCTTCATAGTTGCATAGGTTTAAGGTTTTGCTTTATTCCTTAAATCTAAAACCTCCAAAACTTATGCAAAAGAGTGACGGTAATGGAGTTATACATGGCGAAAACTCATTGTTCATGGCATTATTGGTTTTAGAGAGAAGAACAATAAAGGCAAAAAAAGATCAACAAGAAGGCATCATCATCATAGTGACTTGGTATAAATTAAAGGGAATTACCTTTGATTTCTTCACCGGCCGCCTCGGGGCTACCTCTCCATTCAATTCAATACAAGAACAGCCATGGAGTTTCTCTCTACATTTTTATAAGGGGAAAGGGTTTCCCCTTAATTACTTTTTCTAATATTCTTCTCATTACAATCATGGAATGTAAATCAAGGATTCTGATTCTTGATTCAGAAAAACAAGGAAATTTTATGTTACTCATTCTTTCCTTATATTTATTTATTGCTCAATTATATTCCATTCCTTATTAAAGTTTTAGATTTAGGAGTATATGATTCTCAATTAAAATCTTTACCATCTTTGAACAAGATAGAAGATTATTTCTGTAGTATTACTTTCCCAAAACAAGCAACATATTCAAGATGGGGAAGCTGACAGTAGAACTTCATTACAGCAATGCCACTGGCAAGATGATCGAGAGACATAACTGACATGAAGTATCATAAACATGGTCTTTGCATTTCATTGAACCTACACGTAGGGTACAGCAATAGATACGAAAAAATGTTAAAACAAGATTTATTTCAAATTAAATCTATCGTCTACTTATACAAACAGCATAGAACTGCTTATCGATAAATTCATGAATGAGTTCGAGATAGCAACTTGATAAATTGTTTCACACTGCATACGCTTGTGGCATGAATCGGAGACAACCAAGTGATGCCAACTAGCAACAACCCCGAGTCTCAGAACCTTGCACTCTATTCTGCTCGGGACTGACCAGCTCGGGAAGAGAGGATGATACCGACAATGAGCCCATACAGAGCCAAAGCCTCGGCAAAAATGAGAATTAGAATCATTCCAACGAAAAGCTTTGGCTGTTGGGCATTGGCCCTGCAAATGAATGCATAGAAGAACTAAATCAAGCGAGGCACATTCTCGCAATTGGAATGAATCTAGAAACTGAAGATGAAGCAAAAAACCTTTCACACTAAAAATAATGCACATAAACATACATGGAAGTAACCCAGAGAAAAGAACAATGATTACCAGTAGTAAATTGGATGCAATCCATGAAAGTACCATCTATATTCATTGGCAACAATTCCAAACTTCTCTGTAAGAGTCAGCAAGACTTTTGAAAGTAACTTTCTCTCTTTCTCAATGCTTCAATCTCTATAGATTCTAAACACTTGAATTTAATCGAAATAAACTACATTTCATGTAACAAGTAAAACTCCAACTAAACTAGGTTCAAATATACCCACACCACTATAACCTCATCAGAATTTGTAAGTAAAAAGCCAACCATATGCTCACAGTTATTATGAAAGAATATCAATGCACTTCTATAATTTGCAGCCAAATCCTAATACTAAATCACCTCAAAGAATTTGTTCCAATACGGATGATCACTAGTCTGAATTACAGATTTTGCTATGTTAATCGGTTAATAAATCTATACAGTACAAGAACAAAGAATGAAATTTGAATCCAGTAAAGAAGATTTCAATTAGAAAGCAATACCTGACGCCAGCATCACCGACGATTCCGATGGCCATGCCGGCAGAGAGACCAGCGAGGCCACAAGCGAGACCAGAGGAAAGATGAGCATAGCCATCGAAAAGGTAGTAAGATTTGGCCTTCGGGTTAATCCCAGTGCTTATAATAACCGCAATAATCAACCCATAAATACCTAAAACTCCAGCCATAACAACGGGGACGATCGATTTCATTACCAGCTCTGGCCTCATCACTCCCATCGACGCCACTCCAACACCGCTCTTCGCCGTCCCGTACGCAGCTCCCATACCTAAAAACAAAAAAAGAAACAAGCCAATTAGGAAGCGAAATTAGCAAAGATCAAGAATTGAAAATCTGGGGCCGAATTTTGAAGTTAGGGTTAGGTTTTACAGGAGAAAACGAGGGCAGCAGCGGCACCGAGGAAGCCGAAGAAGGGTGCAGTTTCATCGCCGCTGAACGTGGACGACATTTTCGTTCTCCAAAAATATTCACCGACGAATTGACGAGATTTGGGAAACTTTGAACCGTGGATTTCTTCAGTGAACAGAGGACGAGAGAGAAGGAGAAGGAACTACGAAATGCCTTAGTGGACCAACGTGACAGTGCCATTGCCATTACCATAAAAAAACAAAGTAAAACGCGTCGTGGGCCTGTTTTGAGCTGCAGAAGACAGGTTTATATTTCATGGGCTCAAACACTGAGACGTGTCTTGTGCCAGTTTTGGGCTGAAGATGAGAATCTTAGTGTTGCTCCGGGGCTCATTGGCTAGTATCTTGGACCAAGAAAGCTCGATGATAATGCTGAACACCACTTCTCTTTCATTTGGGTTGGGAAAATGGTAGGAATTCTTTTTCCAGTTAATATAAAACACATAACCATCTGTACATTTCAGTAACCTTTGGTTATCAAACAAAAAGGAATTACAGACTATGCTAGAGCTAACTGGCTTACAAAATTATACAAAACTTTGTATCTTGGGAACTAATAAACAAATGGAAGAACGGCCCACCGGTCAGGTGGATAGTCCTCAAACTTGTGGAGGTACCACCGGTGAGTTTCTGCTGCAGCAAATGCAAGATTAGCCACCTGAAACAGTCACCGCAAATGACTTATTTAGTGTTGAGTCCAACATTTTGCATAGTTCAGGAATGTGATTAAGGGAGTAGAGAGTACCACAAATCCAAGGAGTAGCCATATAGTGAAGTCAGTTCCTCCACTTGCAACCAATAGACCGACATATATTATCTGTACAGAAGCAAAGAACTAACAGTCAGAAGTTTGACAGGAACCAAGGAATATAGACAGCAACTGTGTGAGAGAGTCACCATCTCAGCCAGATAGTGTGGACTTGAGACGATGTTGAACCAATCACCATGTGGAATCACATATTCAACTGTTTGATCTCTATGTCCTCTAAGTGAACCCTGATTAAAAGCCAGAAGATCAGCATATGGATGTGCATAAGATACAAGCCAAAGATCATTTTGTTTCATTCCAAACAAGTTACGAAAAAAAAAAAATGAATCCTGTGTTCAACCCATCTTATTTAAACATTAATATAGCTTTTATTTTCACAATCTCATTAAAAACAATTAAATCCAAAGGAATTAACCTAAACATTGGATATTAAAACTAACCATCAATATCAGTTTCCCCACATTGAATTCATTTAATCCCCCAAAATCAGGACACAAGGATGCATCTAGATTGTAAAGTTTTGAAATTTTCAAACGTCCTGGATTTTTCAGTTCGAGAGAGGTCAAGCAATTGATTAAAAGAGAAGAAAAAACCTACAAGAATTGCATGACAAAAATATTGATGGAGCCATCCCCAAGCAAATATAGCAGCACCAGCCCATTGGCACCATCCAAGCCTTGTCATAGGCTTGACATATCCCCACAAATCAAAATCTGTACTTGACAGCATTTCTTGGCCTTCGACATTAAATTCAGCCACTTGATCAGCTGCAAAATTAACAACCTCTAGTGCACAAAATGTACAGAGTGACAAAGGTGCTGCTATATAAAAACTGCCAATGCAATCATCACACAATCAGAACTAAATACAATCTACATTGGTAACCAGGTTTACAAGGAAATTTAAGATTTTTAATTGTAGAAATTAAAGAGACCTCGAAATTAGGGCACAAAATAATCATGCTCGTGCATTAACTTACCATTACCATTGTCAGCAAAATGAAGTCACATAACTATGGTCAATCTTCCAAATATAACATCCAAACATCATAAGAAAATACAGAACAATAACAGAAACATATTAAGTACGAACTTCTATTTCTTATTACCACCTTTCGCATTCTTTATATTGTCAATTATACTGATTTTTGATAAGTACACTAATTTTCACCAGCCTTAATCAACAAAGAGTCACATAATTCAAAAATGGCGATCCATAAGCAATTAAACTTATCAAATGTGCTGAAAAAACTCACCAAATACCAGTGAAGTATCCAAAAATGTGCATTCGAGCAGAAGAGCTGTAGTTGAAAACAAAAAGGGTCTCATAAAGTCGCCTCAGGACATGAATTTCCATCAACAACAGCAAGAACACAGACTTCCAAACATTGAATCTGTCTTCAGCCGAGGCAAGCCGAGACTTGTGCAAGGAAAAAACATGAAAGCCTCCAGTTAAGTGACTAGCAGCAGCAGAGTAGCTCAATGACTCAACACTTAAAGGAGCAACTTTGTATGCAAACCACCAAATTCCCATTAACAACACTGTTGTCCAAGCCACAGCCAACAAATAAAAGTGTAGAAAGAAACTCTGAGGAACTGTGAACTTCTACACTATCACAAAAACCAAGACAAAAGACAAACAATTGTTTGAAACAACGAAATTTGATGGGAATTTTTCTCTCAAAAGATGGTAACAAAAGAAGTTGGGTCTTACATGGGACGAAGATGGCATAATCTTTCCCCTCTTGGCAAATCCAAGCAAAAGGGTATGAAATGAACCGAGACGTGAAGAAGGAAGCGAAGCGATGAGGAGAGGAAGAGTCCCGGCTACCCATCCCGCCCTTAGAAGCCAAATAAAGCATGTTTTGATGGTGTCCATTGACCGCAAAGAAAAAGCTTCGATCAAAACTCCAACCACTTCCATTCTCCCCGGAGTTGTAGACGCCACCGAACAGACTCAAATCAGAGAAAACGAGGATGTATTTTTGTTAACCGTGAGCTGGAACGACGTGGCGAGGAGGTTGTAAACGTGGGTCGGACAGTTGGGCTTGTAGTTGAACCCAGAAAAATTGGGCCAGGAATCTAAAAGAAAGGCTAAAATCCTGAGTTGGGCTCTTAGAGGAAAAGTGAAGCAAATTGGCCTGCTTAATCATGCCAAATATTGTTACCAAAGTAATAAATAAATAAATAATGTCTATTCTATGTAGCACTATAAATACACAGTGGGTCATGAGTAGTCTTCTCTTTTTCATTTTTTAATTTTTAAAAAATATAATTTTTTTAATATAAAAACACATTATAAAAATATCGAATCTAAATCTCTTTTTTTTATACTGATAAAATATACATAAAAAAAATTCTCGACTTAAAAAGTTGAATTCATTTATAAACTTCGAACATCATGCAAATTAATGCACGAGAGGAAGATTCATGCTATTCAAATTCATAATGGCTCATAAGCAAAGTGATGAAGAAAAGTACTTGTATGTATCCCCCAATAACCTTGAACCTCATTGGATTAGAGTTCATCAAACGTGCACGAATGCTTAACATCTAATGCAATTTGATTAAGTTTAGGGATAAAAGGGATGTTGTTTAACCTTATGATTCCTATTAACTTTCCATCATTGTGTTGAGTAAAACTTGTAGAACACAAAAAACAAAAAGGGGTCGACCTTTTTTACGACCCTTTCATCCTTTGTACTTATTGATCGGATTGTTATAATGAAAACAACTTGGGGATGATTAACCTCGACTTCTTCTTAATCGTTATCGTGAAACAAAGCCATGGACATGGAGCCACACGTTCACTTGGGGAAATCATGGGTTCTCGAGCCAAGTAGGGAGGGTTGGGGGCCAGGACTAAGTAAATGCATAAGGAAAACCTGAAGAAGGCATCGATGGTGAAATAATTATTGGGGGAGTATGTGGACAAAACCATCCAAGTGTAATCATTCTATTTGTGGCTGATACTTAACTTTTCGTGACGAGTCCATTTTGTTCTTATAGCATTTGAAATGAGCTTACTCGTATAGTGGGGGAGAATGGGGGAGATGTGGAAGATTACATATAGAGAATTTTCACCATGGAAAATGTATCATCACCATGCCAGATTGCCTCATTTCGCCTTTGCTTTATAATGATGGCTTCGAATCCATTTTAGAGCTAGGCAAGTAAGCTACAGAGAAAACCTATTAATGGAAAATGATCAAAAGCTTTTGATCAAATGTGAGGAGTAATCCTTCACTTATCTGCCGACACTTGAAAAAAAAAAAACAAAAAACACACGAGTAAATTGAACAACAAACAAGAATTAGAGAAAAAGAAAAAGATAAACTATGTTTATACTTTTATAATTTTAAATTTTGTAAGTTCTTATTTTTTCATGTAAAACCCAATAGATATCTTTTCTAATTTTTTTCCCCACAAAAAATTAGACTATTAATTTTATTTTATAGAATTATAAAAATACTCTTAAACATAAATAAATATGTTAATTTTAAATTAATAGTATTTTGATAATTTTATTTAAAAAAATTAATTTCTTAATCTCTTACGAGAATAGAAGTGATCCCCGAGATTTTAATTATATAAAACAAGAAAATCACATGATTCTAATTGGAAAAAAAATCACAATGTGCTATTTTAAAAAGGTTAACACCACAAGAAGATTAAGTGAAATTTACCCAAAAAAGCCAAATTTCAATAGTATATTTATAAAGAGTGTCTAAAGATTAATGACTCAATTATGATTATTTTATACATAAAAATTTTGATTTTGGTGAAGAAATAATTAAGTTTTTAAAAGAGATTTAAATAGACAAGTTGTAAATATAGTGATGTATATATGATATACTATTTGTTTTTTATTTTTATATTTGGGGGTCTAATCAAAAGCTTATTAAAAAAATTGAAATAAAGAAGGGAAAAAGGTTAGGCAACAAGAATCAAACCTTTTTGACAAACAAAAAAAAGTTTAGTCTCTAGAAGACCCAGTTGAAACCAAAGAGAGTTCTGTCTGTGCAACATAAGCAAACAGACCTAGCAAGTCAATTCATGCAAACGCGCCATACTCGATGTGAGTTGGGACCCCCTCCCCATTGGCGACCCCATGAAAACTCTGATCATGAACCAGGAGGCACAAGAAATATGTATAAGAATTGGGAGGAGCTAGCCCCAATCCCATTTGCAAACCACCATCACACACAGGACCCCCCCTTCAGCTCACCTGTGGCTATCATGGCATCTGTTTCTCCCCCATTCTTTCCCAATCAATGGCCCATATCCTCCTCCCTCCCCCATTCGATTTCAACCCTGTTGAGGGAAAATGTGGACTAATTAATGGCCTATCCTTCAGAAATCATCCTCCATTGTAGTAATTGTAATCCCCCTGCGGGTGTGTCCACCTGGAAAGAC